ACATTTTCATTCATGTTAATATGTAGTTGTAGAAAAAATATTATGCTCCCAAGTATTACAAGAAATACAAGATTAGCACTCGGATACGTTTGTTCATGAGTGATGTCATAGAATATTACATGCTTTGAGTAGAGTTGTTCAGAAGACCTCTTCTCTATATTGGTCTATATGATTGATGTGTGTTTCCCTGCCCTCCAAGGCATTCGAATTGTTTCATTTGATTGCTCTTTCATCCTCGACTTCAGTTCTCGTTTTCTTTGGAAGTAGAATACTATCTGGTCTTCATGTATCCAATGTGTTTTTTAAAACCAAATTCTTCTCCCTTTAGTACCTAATGTTCTGTAAGTGTTGTGTTCTGTGATTGGCTTGACTTTCTTTGCTTAAAACCCTATGTAGGATTTCTAATTATTTGATGACTGACATGATTGAGATAAGGGTGCGTGTGGACAATAAGTTTCTATAATCATATCAAATGAGAGCTTATTTGGTTGTGAAATTTACTCAAATAAACATGAAGATCTAATAGGAAGGTAGGGTCATAATCCGCTTTCATTATCAAACATGCTTTTCCAGTTGCCCCTCAAATGTTAGGGATGAAATGATGGAATAAATTAAAATGCCGGTTTTGTCAGTTTTGTTACTTTCCTCTCACTGTAGACTGTTGTAACTTTGAAATAACAATTTGCTTATAGCTACCCACAAATTAATTACTTTTATTTACATGTATATTTTTCTCTACCTATGTGTATGCAGTTGTTTCTCTTGTAAATCTAGTTTGTGTGACATTACATCAATAACAAAAGCCTTGTCCTACTTGGTGAGGTTGACTAAATGGATCCCCATCAAATAGCACATCTAAGATTTTATTCTATTAAAAATCTATTGAGTGTGATCTTTTTTATATCATTACAATCTACTGGTAGTTAAAAAAACTTCTATGTAAAAAGTAAAAGAGCTGTAAGTTCTTTTTCTAGAATATCAAATTGGAGTCTTTAAAACAACTATAAAATAAATATAATTTTTTGGAAATTTCCAAATTTATTATTTTAATCCTATTCCACTGTGTCACAACAAATTTTTATACTGATCTATGATTTTAAATATTTTTTATTTGAAGATAAATTTGCTAGAAGTTGGTATTGTTATTAGTTTATCTAATAATAGAAAATTTATACTGGTTCTATATGTTTTTTAAGCTCCACCACATATATGTTTTTTAGTGTCTATCTGACATCCATTTACTTCATTTTCTTTTAGATACTTGGAACCTTTGGCGATTGCTCTGGACCGTGAGAATTGGTCATTAGTTCAATTTCTTATGTCATCTTCTTACAGTGGATATGGCACCTCCAGCTTGCAACAAGTAATCAGTTAAATTTTAATTCCCAGTGATGCTGTGCTGTTGCAGGTTGCTGTGAAGTGTTATAAGTTATAACACATTTTAGTCATCCAATTTTTGCTTATTAATTTTATGATTGGCTCAAAATTTTGGAAACTATTAATACTGTAGTATCCACCATATAATTGAACTAACAAAGAAGACAAGAAATTGTTTTTTGGTTAGCAGGTAAATGCCTTTTTCTTCTGATATAGTGAACTAGTGTTTTGCCAAAGAATCTCCTTACAGTAAGCAATATAATTCAAACATTGGTCTTTGTGCTTAGTGCTGCTGACCTAAGGTTTATTGTGGAAAAGAACTTTGTTGTTTGTTTAGTAGACCAACAGAATAAAGAGCGTCATAAACTTTTTTATCAGATATTTAGAAGTAATTAATTCAGCTGTTAAATTAGTGCAACCTTTGGCATTACCTCACCAAACACAATCTTCAGAATCTAGTATTGTTAAATATGGCAAACTAAGGATCCTAATTTTGAGGAGTCCAGGATCATTAAATTAGTTACTACAAATAACATATTTAAAATATATATGCTACCTCAAATATAATGTTTTTTTAAAACTATTTTTATATTCATTCTTATGTTCTACTGAAAGGAGCAACGTCAATATTCGTATATGACTCACAGGGATAGTTATCTTGATTCTTAAGCTTGTTGAATGTATGTTGTAGGACGCCAAGGAGCTGGATCAGCTGATTAATTATTTAATAAACAAAGAAGACTCTGAAGGTGTGGCATTACTAGGGCATAGTACTGGCTGTCAGGTTATATATTATTTCAATTCCTAACTTTACTTCCACTTTTCTTCTTGCTGCTGTCATTCGTTGTGAAAATTAAATTTGTTTCTCTTCTTTTTGGACATTTCATCTAGGATATTGTGCATTACATGCGCACAAATTATGCTTGCTCCAGAGCAGTGCGTGCTGCCATCTTTCAGGTACACATTGATAGTGGATCAGTCATGAACTTTCTTTAAATTTTTTTTCATCTGCATGTCTTCTGTAAAATCGTGACTCTAATGTAATTCATCATAATTATGCCACTTAGATAAACAGCCTTTTACAATTAGGGGTCTTATTCTTCTAATAGATGAGACTAGTGGCCGAAATCACCTGATTTAGGTTGCTACCCTAACTGGCATAAGGCCATAAGGATATTTTAAAATGGATTTGAGTCATTTGACAGTATTCTGATCCTACAATCTAGCTGGATGGTATTGTCTTCCCTTTGAAGTAACTTTCCATTTTTTTCATAAAATGTTTAGAATATTTACACACACACACACACACACACACACAAAGATGAATCACAATGTTTTGAAATTCTGTTTGCAGTATACACATCTTTGAAGAACATGAAACATAGAAAGGAAACTACATCAATATGTTAAAGTATATAGATAGTCATATGAATGCAAATATAAATGGTTGCTTTGGTGATAATAAAATCTATATTAAATTATTATTGAGAAAATGATATAAACTGTCACAAAGACTTTTGTTTATTCCCTTCCACTAAACACTGTTGCATTACTAATTCTTTCCATTCACCTATATTGTTGATGAATTGATAATTTCATTTCTTCCCCTCCATTGGCATGCGAGTAATGCTACCAACTTTCTTGTTCATTTGCTGTTAACTTAAGCATGGTTTTGAAAAGTGAAAACTTGATCAGCATAGCACTATCAATTAGAATGTTAGAACCAGCTCTAGAAATAGGTGATGTTTTATAGTATGTATGGGAACATTGTTGTCAGCTTTCTCATTCGCTTCACTATTAATCATAATGTTAATAAGTAGCTCCAGAGCATTTAATTGTAAACTGGTCAACAAGGCAAATTCAAATACAGAATAGGAAATACCACTATATTTTATACAAGTATAACATGTAATGTTTAAATATATTCATATTTGATATTACTAAGTGTAAGATATATCTTAGTACCTATACAATAATTAATTACACATTGATGAGTTATAACAATTCTTTTGTTCTAATTTATTTTTTTAAATGAATTATTCAATTGTTACGATGTCCTTGTAGAGTTGTTTATATTTATTGAATAATGTTCTATTTTTTAAAGTACTAAGTTTACCTATAGGAAGACTAATGATGTTGAGATAAAAAGTGGTGTGTGTTGATTTGACAATGGTTATACCATTATAATGAGTCATTTGCCCCTACGTATATCTATGGATTGAAATTTCAGTCTTTGGTGTTACCCAAACCAAAAGAAGAAAGTGAACATTTTGTTTGATCAATAGCAATATATCATGTAATGCTTTTCCATCTGTTCTTTCACTGAATGCGTCATTTTCTATGTCTATTTAATTATTCAGGCTCCCGTCAGTGATCGGGAATATCAAGCCACTCTTCCTCAAACAGCTTCTATGATTGACTTGGCTGCTAAGATGATAAGTGAAGGCCGAGGCTTAGAGTTAATGCCCAGGGAAGCAGATCCTAGTGCCCCAATAACTGCCTATAGGTGAGTACAGAATTATTTTAGGAGCAGCACAAACATTGAGACAGGCCTTGATTTCGGTTAAGATGTATATTAAGATTGATTCCTATGATGCACTATTTGGAAACTAAGATGTTATTTAATTGTAAAATAATCTTCTTTGCTCATCAATTATCAGACCAAAGTGGTTTGTATATGGTAATTTTTAGATTGGCATGGTCTACCATTAGCATTTTTATCATTATTTATTATGGTCATCACAATTTGACACATGTCGATAAATTATTTGAATTCCTATGGGAGGGCATTCTTACCAAAGAATTATTTGTTTGTATTGAAGCCTTTATATTATATAATGTCTATTATTTAATTAGTTTAATTCAATTTCTTTATTCACGACACTATTTATATGACAATCTGACAGGAACCAAATATACTAGGAATTAATAGGGAAAATTCCAGAGATCATTGTTCAGGATACAAAAAGAAAATACAATAGAGAGCTAAGAATATCAGAGGAGATAAACTTCCCTGTCCCATCATATATCCCAAAACAACCAAATTGATTTTCCTACCTTTCATTTCTTCCCTTGTATTGCCAAGCAGCCTCTAACTTTATGTCAATTCTTCCCACACTTGCCATGTATTCAAATTTGTTATAACATATGTAAATGTGTTTTTACCCTTATCCATGTTTGAGTTCCCACTATTGAATCTTAATTTACCTTTTTTAGTTGATCCCTTCAAAGTGCGTATTTGTTAGTTACTCAAAAACAGAATTTGAGTTTTTTAGAAAGAGAAATGAGTTAATTCTAGAAAGGGAAAGATAAAAAGAAACTTGTGTATTGTTTGTTGATTTACAAATAATAAAGGAGAGCAGTCTCCCTCCAAAGGCTTCCCTTCTCACAAAGGGCTCGCCCTTTTCTACAACAAACCTAATTCTCAATTATTAAATGCTAACAAGTCAGAAGGCCCACTCTAGACTTATTTCTCACTCTTGACTTATTTAAGCTAATTCACTTCCTACAACTTCAGATGCCTGACTATCTTAGCTAACTATGCTGGCTCCATCAGTGTCATCAACTTTAGAATATGGAATTAGGTTCTGATATCTGTTCACCCAAACATCCCTTGAATCACCCTAGCTAGCTGCAATAGTTGTCCACCCCTTTATGCCACTAGTTGCTAATATCCCCATCCGCACTACTCTTCTATTCCAAGGTCTGCAACTTCTGCATTCCATACCCCGTACCTCTTCATCCATGCATTTCTCAAAGTTAAAACTTAAAAGTTTGATGCTCCTTAGTTGCATATAACTAGCTGTCATGGTTGTCCACCCCATTATGCCACTAGTTTCCAATATCCCGGCCACACTACTCTTCTCTTGCAAGGTCAACAACTCCTGCATTCCATACCAGACCCTCTTTACCCATGCATTTCTCAAAGTTAAAATCTGAAAAGTTTGCTGCTCCTTAGCTGCATAAAAGTTGGAATTTCACAGTGCAAATTGGGCTGTGGCATGATCTCCTTTCTATTGGTCTTCTTGGGTTGCTTTTTCTTTTCTGAAATGGATTGAGTCTAACTCAACTTCAATAGCTAGCTTCGGGTGGGGGAATTGGGGGATAGTTCTCCTACCTTAAAGGAAATTGTGGAAATCTTAACTTAGACAATCATGCCTATTTGTGACCCAACATCAAGACTGGATAGGCTCAAATACTATATTATAAATAGTCAAGGTTTGCTAGTTCAGGTGGGACCTCGTAACTATTAGGATCATGCACTTACCACTAAGCTAAAAGGTATAGTTCTTAGTCAGAACGCAACTCTTTTTACTTAAGAGTAATAGTCCAAGCGTCACAATTCGATTGTGACTCGGCCCACCCAGCCTCTGCCACGGGACAATTGATGCTACCTGCAACAATCTCCCCCTCAGTAATTGTACTAAGGAATCCCACTCTTGGATTGTGACTCGGTCCACCCGGCCTCCGCCACGGGACAATTGTGCAACCCGTAACACTCTTCCCTTCAGCAATTGTCCTAAGGAATCCCACTCTAACTGCAGTAAAAAGAATATTAAAATATTTAAGAGGAACTACAGGATTTGGTTTATGGTACCCATTCGAAGCTTCTCCTAGCTTATTAGGTTATTCTGATGCTGATTATGGAGGCTGTAAAGTAGATAGAAAAAACGCTAGTGGTACCTGTCATCCATTAGGATCATCCTTAGTTTCATGACATTCTAAGAAATAAGCCTGTATTGTTTTATCCACAACTGAGGCTGAATATATTGTAGCTAGAAATTGTTGTGCTCAAATTTTATGGATGAAGCAACAACTAGAAGATTATAGTATTTTTCTAAGTGATAATACAAGTGCAATTAATCTTACAAAGAATCCTGTTATGCACTTTAGAACTAAACACATTGAGATTAAGCATCACTTTTTAAGAGATCACATTTCTAAAGAAAATTGTAAAATTGAATATATAGACACAAAACATCAGTTAGCAGACATTTTTACTAAATCTGTTCCCAAGGATAGATTCTATAAACTTATGAGAGACTTAGGAATATTAGAAATAGCATAAACTCTGCTTAACTGTAATTTTTTTTTTATTATTGTGATAATCGATTATCACGAAACCATTTTCGCAGAGGAGTAATCTGGACCAGGATAATCGATTATCCTCTGAGATTTGAGTGCTTCCTCAACACTTTTGGGTTCAATATGTGAAACAAAAGCTACAGACATATACAAATTTGTCATATTTCTAGTGCTTACCCCTTTTGAAATATCACCAATTATATTGTCTATTGAAAGTCCTTTTGGTGGTTGCCACTCTTTTACCATCTTTGTTGGTTGTGATGATTCATTTTCATCTAGGTACATTTCATCTAGTGCTTCTCTTATGTATCCATCATCACCTGCAAATTCTTTATTTGACTCAAGAGGATTTCCTTCAAGGTCTGCAATTTCATCAAAAGTAACATGTGCATATTCTTCAATATTTAAGGTTCTTTTGTTAATACTCTATATGCTTTGCTAGAAAGTGAATAACCTAAGAAGATAGCCTCATCGACTTTTGAGTCAAATTTTCCTAAGTTATCTTTACCATTATTTAAAACAAAGCACTTACAACTAAATATTTTTAAATGTGAAACATTAGACTTCCTTCCATTTAACAATTCATAAGGAGTTAATTTTATGATGAACCTAATAAGCATTCTATTTAATAACATAACATGCAGTACTTACTGCATCAGCCCAAAAATATTTAGGAACATTTGATTCATTTAACATGGTTCTAGCAAGTTCCTCTAGTGACCTATTTTTCCTTTATACTACACCATTTTGTTGGGGAGTTCTAGGTGTAGAAAAATTATGCAAAATTCCATTTTCTTCACAATAATTTTCAAAAGATTTATTTTGGAATTCCCCACCATGGTCACTCCTTAACACTTTAATTCTTAAGTTTTTCTCATTTTGAATTTGCTTGGCAAACTTCCTAAAGACCTTAAAAGCCTCACTTTTCAATGTTAGGAAAAATGTCCAAGTAAACCTAGAAAAATCATCAACAATTACAAGAGTACAGTAATTTCCACCAAAACTTTTATGCTGGATGGACCAAATAAATCTAAGTGTAAAAGTTCTAAAGGTTTTAATGTGGAAATAACATTCTTAGATTTAAAAGATGATTTTACTTGTTTACCTTTTTGACATGTATCACATAATTTATCTTTTTCAAATTTTAACTTAGGCAAACCAACAACTAAGTCATTTGGTATTAGTTTGTTTAATTGATGCATATTTATATGAACTGCTCTCTTATGTCATAACCATGAATTTTCTTCATTAGCAACTAAGCATGTTATATCAACATTAGATACACAATCCAAGTCAATCAAATAAATATTGTTATGCCTAATACCTTTTAATATAATTTTCTTATAATCCTTAAGATGTATGGTGTAGTAATTACTTTTAAAGATTACCTTAAGTCCTTTATCACAAAGTTGGCTTATACTTAGAAGATTGTGCTTTAGTCCATCAACAAGGAGCATATCCTTTATCTCTAAAGTATTTGCACCACTAATATTTGCGGTTCCAAGGATTCTTCCTTTGATGTTGTCTCCATAGGTTACATATCCTTGTTCCTTTGTTTTGAAACTCACAAATTTCTTTTTATCTCAAGTCATGTGTCTTGAACATCCACTGTCAAGATACCACATAGACTTCTTGGATTTGGAAGTTTCCTACAAAATAAGGGAACAATAAACTTAGGTCCCCATATAACTTTTTGGGTCCTTGGGGTTAGAAATAATCACATTATTTAACAATAGGAATCCAAATATATTTTTCGTTTGGAACATCAAAATGCTTAATTTTACATGTATTTGATATATGTCCATGTTTCATGCAATAAAAACATGCATTAAATGATTTACCTTTTGAAAAGGATTTACTTTCATTTTGTGGAGTTTTACTTCCTTTCATATTCCATACCCCACGAGTTCTTTTATTTTTAGGCTTTTTTATTGGAACATGACAATTTGCTTGAGTTTGTACAATAACTTCATCTTTGTAACAATCACTTAATTCTTTCTTTGCTTTTTCAAGTAAGTATCTAAGTATGTTAATATCATATTCATATTCTTTATATGATGCACATGCAATTTGTTTATTTCCTTTTTCTTCTAAAGTCACTATTTTTTATTTTAAAGATTCTACTTCTTTTTCCGATTTATTCAAATTCTTTTTCGAAGATTTATATTCAATTTTCAAATATTTAAAAGCAACAAATAGTTCTTAATATGCATTATGTAAAACATCATAGTCATTTTTATCATCACTTGAAGAATAGTTGGAATCACTTACCTCACAGTCGGAAGAATTTTTGTCATTTGTCATTTAGCAAAGATTGGCTTTAACATCCAAATCACTTGACTCTGAACTTGAATCACTATTATCCCAAGCTATATAGGCTTTCTTTTTATAAGATTTTCTTCCTTTAAGATCATCACTCTTCTTGTTGGGACATTCGAATTTCACACATCTTGTTTCTCCACAACCATAACATTTGAAACTTAAAAAGAAGAACTTTCTTTTACCTTTCCCTTACCTTTGAAAGGTTGCTTCCCTTTAGTTTTCATGAACTTTGTAAATTTTTTTATCATAAGACTCAAGTTTTCATCTTCTTCATTTTCAGAGTGTGCTTCCTCCTTCTTGTTATTGCTTTTGAAATATCGGTTTTGAAGGCAATGTTTCTTTTGACACTTTGGCCTTCCTCATCACTTAGTCTTCCAAGTTCAAGTTCATGCTCTGTCAACTTTCCAAAGAGAGTCGCTATTGACATAGTGGCAAGATTTTGTGACTCCGTGATGGCAGTCACCTTTGGTTGTCATTTCCTGTCTAAAGATTTCAAAATTTTGACATTTAACTCGTCAGTATCAAAACTCTTACCTAGCCCAGTGAGATGGTTGACAATATGAGTGAACCGCTTTTGAACATCAAAGATAGTTTCTCCTTGTTGCATTCGAAACATCTCATATTCTTGAATCAAGGAATTTTTCATTGCTCTTTTAACATCATCGGTTCTTTCGTGGGTTATTCTTAACATTTCTCACATTTCTTGAGCATTCTTGCAAACTGAAATTCTATAAAATTCATCAAGAGTCAAAGCAGATGAAATAATATTCTTAGCCCTAACATCATATTGTGCTTTTCTATTTTCTTCTGCAATCCATCTAGAAAATGGTTTAGGTACCTCTACTTCATTTTCAGTCATTTTTGGAATAAATGGACAATTTACAACAACATCCCAAACACCCCTATCAACAGACTCCAAAAATATTTGCATTGTTACTTTCCAAAACGGATAATTTTGTCCAGCAAAAAGTGGGAGTCTGTTGATAGAAGCACCCTCGACAAAAGTTTGATTTTGTCTGACCATTTTCGAAATTTTTGAAAAACTATCAAACTAAGCTCTGATACTACTTGTTAAGTTTGAAAATAGGAGTATTGGAAATAGGTGTATCAAAAATAGGTTCAAGTTCGAAATTCAAAAATCATAACAGACGTAGATAATCGATTATCTTAAGTGATAATCGATTATCACATAACCATTTTCGCAGAGGAGTAATCTGGACTAGGATAATCGATTATCCTCTGAGATAATCGATTATTCCAAAGTTTTCAAAAACCAAAATCAACTGGGGATAATCGATTATCAAGCCAGATAATCGATTATTCCAGCAAGCTTTTCAGAAAACAAGTTTCAGGCAGGATAATCGATTATCCTAAGTGATAATCGATTATCACATAGTGGTTTTGATAAAAAAGAACTTTCAAAGGAAGAACTATGTGCTGACTGTCTTAGACTCTAATTTTACAGACTCAAAAAAAGATAAAA